TCTCGATGACAAATCACATTTTACAATAACAAGTTAAATATTTATGACTACAGAATCTCTGTTAGTTTATGCAACATTCACCAGCATGGCCTCTGCCATACCATGTGTACATCTAGTCAGGGACAGCCCCATAAACATACAGCCCCATAAACATACAGCAGGGATTTCTGGACAAACCATTTAAAGAGCGTAACTTTTTCACTTTATGTAGTGAAATTCTGCATTTTTCTTAGCTGGAAACTGTATAAAATGCAGAAAACCGGTAGCTGAGAACTGATTATCATACACAGGACATTTTTGTTGCAGATTCTCCACTGTATACACGTATTTACACATATGTTGACCACTTACAGATGTGAGGATACAAGGTGACGTGACGTAGCTAAGGCAATGCGACATGAATTGTATGACTGCCAACTTCTCTGTTCCGGGTAGGGCTATGAAGGGGTGGAAGAAGGGGTCCGCGGGGGTACAGACCTCAGCTAGCTGGGTTTCAGCAGACAAGATCTGAAGTTGGTTTTGTAGTTCAAAGACACTTGGGCTATTGGCAATGTATGTTTTAAATGCATGTGTTGAAATAAATATCATTACCAAAGATCTTGCTAGAATATCTACTTCTGACAGTGAATATTTAGCGGGTGACATTTGAAGGATGTTAATCTGTAAAATGTACAACAAAATGTTCATTCATGACAACTGATGCTGACACAATATTAATTAATGCCTCTAGCAAACCCTTTCTGAACTTTCAGTAGTTTGGACAATTGCATGACATGTAGAGACGAAGCTATAATTTGCTATTTCTTTCAGAGTGACGCAGTCAAATCCATGCAAGATGAATTTACAATTTCTGTTCAACTTTCTGTCAGTATTTTTACTTAGCAAACTTTAGAATCCCAGACAGAACCAGGAAACGTAGGTGGGATTATTGCTCTGTGGGTACGGAAGTGAAATTGGCTTGCAAAGACCAAGCAGATCCGCAAAGGTTTTGGCGCGTCGGGTCGAGCGCTAGAAAATGCTAGTGAAAGGAAGTAGCAACCACATGGCAGGAGGAGCTCCGTGGTCATCAGCCTCCCAGGCCCGTGGTGTCTAGAGCTGGAGGCTACTCACACAGGGGGTCCCCTCCTCTCTCCTCACATCACCCTACTCAAAGGCCATCCCATGGGGAGAGCCCAGCTGGGAAGCCACTGCCTCTCAGAAGCAAGCACCCTCCAGACACCTGTAGACCAAGGGCCCAGGCCCGGCAGGGAGGCAGCGGGCCGGGCGCCCTCCCTCTGAGGAACAGCACCCAGCCCCAGGGGAACAGGCACTGAGCACACACCCCACCCCCAGCTCCCTGCTTCTTATAATTACCGGATGCTCACTTGGAAGGCAGAGGCTGGGAAAGCCTCTCTGTCCTATCAGCACAGGAGAAAAGTCCCTAGGGGATGACTAATGACCAAAAGGAAGGGTTTTATGTCAAATCAGTGGGTTAAATGGTAAAGCCTCTTGGCACCTGTGGCATGGCCTGGACTGGGAGCCGGGATAGCAGGCACATCTGCCAGCTAGTGGCTTGGGTCCCCTACCCTCTGACTGGTCCAGACCACCTGTGCTTTTATGAAATAAAAGCAGACATTTTGAAAAGTATATCAGCCCCCCTCTCCATAATCTGCCAGGGAAACTCCACAAAGAAGCGAAAGATGAAGCCCCACCTGCTTCAAAAACCAACTGAAAATACGTGACCAGGGCTGGCTTCACGGGCATGTGACCTGTGCAGTCACACAGGACCCTGTGCTTAGAAGGACCTGCTCTTGGTTGAATTCTCTCCTGTCATCACCTCGAAATTCTTAATAATTTTGAACAAGGGGCCTCACCTTTTAATTTTGCACTGAGCCCACCAATTATGTAGTGGGTCCCAAGTGTGACTATGAGAGGGTCAGACCAACCCTGTTCAATCCACATATCCACTCATTGTCCCCGGTGCACAAGCAGACACACACACACACACACACACACACACCATGCAATGATCTGCATCCCAACAGTTCCTCTACATCTGAAATTCCAGAAGTCCTAGTCTCCAAGTAGAGACTCTGTTATCAAATCCAAGCAGAGGGGACCTGACTTCTAGAACCCTTACTGGAGAGAGGGCACCTGCTCCAGCAGGCCGACCAGCGACGGCCCAGCAGTGAGGGGACACCTCCAACTTACATCTGAGGCCCCCAGAGGGCTGAATCTCAGGGGCCTTCACCAAAGCAGATGCAGAAAAGGCAGGAAAGCTAAAGACCCCTTTTATAGCCCCAACCCCAGCAGCAGAGAAAAGCAAAGTGTCACCAGGTACCCCAGGAGCGCTGACTTCGAGCCCCACCCTCGCCACTAACCTCCTTCCCTCTCCTGCCTTCAGTCTCAGACTCAGCAAGCTCGTCCTGTGATTTAAACAAGAGCGATGTCCTGGAGCTGCAGTAGGTGGAGCCAGCGCCCTGGGATCCGCCAGTGGGACCGGCAAGTTTCCAGGCGGAGATCGCCCCCTAGCGGCCACAGTGGGTAGAACGGCAGCTGCTTGCTCCCCGACACTGCAAAGCGGCCACCCGGCTTTCTCTGCTTCCTGCAACGCCCTCTTTGCCCCAGGCCCTCATTCTGTTTAGACAGAGAAACCAGGAGGAAATAACGGGTTTGAATATAATAGGAAAAATGCAAAGGAACATAGTTTTAGAAACACAGACGCACAGAAATGTTATTCTTCTAAATGAAAAAGTACAAAACCAGAGTTCCTAGAAGAAGAAAAATACGCATTCTTTCCACTGCATAAAAAGTAACCCTGGTTACTGATAATTCTCAGTAAATATCAGAGAAGTGCTCAATTTTTTTCAAGGCTGACCATGTAAGCCCACTTCTGAACAGGTTTACTTGGTGGGCTTTGAATCCTAAAATATTCACACTATTCAGATAATTTTACCAATATAGGCTGTTATAGAAAGTAGAGCAAAAGCCTATTAAAAACAACTCACAAAACACCTTGACTTACAGTAAGGGCGAACCTACCCCTTAAATAGGGCAACCACACATAGCTGAAAAAATGATTATGTGGGTGTTGTCTGGTTCCCCGAGGTCAGATTAAAGAGAGTTCCTTTCAGCGGAGGAACTGATTGGATCTGCCTGTCACTGAAATAAGTATGCAGCGGTGAAGATGAATTTTTACAAGCACTGGGTGTTACTCGAATGACTCAAAGTTAGATCTACAATTAGGCTGTGAAAGCCACAAAAGCAGGTCCCTCCTCGCCACCTCCCAGCCCCTGGGATGGTGGTCTGGCCCAGGATAGGGACTCCCTGAATGAACGATGCACAGTCAACATTACTATGTTACTGAGAGATCACAACCCAGAGATAAGACTTTCCAGCAGGTTGGCATCTGGGTTTTAGTGCTCCCAAGATAGCGTTTTCTGTCTTTTCTTGTGAAATGTTTTCCATGCTTGTCAGGAGCAGATTTTTGGCTCCTGAAGGTAGCAGGTTATGTATCTTAGGTGAGCTCGATGACCTCCAAACATATCCTGGATCTGACACAATGCAGGGTGAGGAAACGGGAGTTCTAGAACATTCTAGAACATTCCTTTCCTCTAGCTCAAATAAACGGCTACATTCATAGTACAGTAAACATCCCAAGTATATTGACACAATACTAAGCAGCCCCTATAAAACACAGCTCAGGGTCCCCCAGGGGAGTCTTGGCAGCTGATCTGAGCTGTTCCCTGCAATCGGGGGAAGTCCCCACAGGCATTTCAGCACTCAGCACCCCTGGGTGCAAAGTGAAGGAGGTATCAGTTTTACCAAATACCTCTTAGGGTGGCTCAGACCACAGTGTCAGTCACCAGTTTCTGGTGCTACTGATTATGCTTCCGCCTGGTAGGAACTAAAGTCGTAACCTTCAAAGCCAAACAAGAATCTCCAGCCTCGTCTGTTGTCATCGCCTCACTTTAGGGCATTGAGGAGGCTCTAAACTTGT